CAGCAGCAGCAGGAGGAGTAGTAGTAGTAGCAGTAGCAGGAGCAGTAGCAGTAGTAGTAATAGTAGTAGTAGTAGTAGTAGTAGTAGTAGAAGTAGTATTTTAGCAGTAGTAGTAGTAGTAGTAGTAGTAGTAGCAGCAGCAGCAGTACTGGGTTTTTGCTTGCGATTACACGCTGTCAGATTCCATAACAAGTGTTCGGGTTGGCCTTCCGTGAAGCTACGGAGTTGTTATGCTGGTTGGCAACGCCCCCCCCTTCGCTTCCTGGCTGGCAGCTGTGCGAGCCGTTGAGATTTCTTTGTGGCTTTGGCCTCTCGTTGCCTACCTTCTGGCACAGCAGCTGCGAACTAGGAGTTCCGGTTTGTGTAGGCTGGAGCTGAATCTCTGCAATTTGTTCCGTCGATAGACTGTCCTTCTGCCGCCAAGCTCTGGAGGATCTTCTGTCTTGAGGGAGCTTTACCAGTTAGGAAGGCCAGTCGTGTTCCATGGTGTGCAAGATGGATGTAGGCTAGGGAGTTCTTGCCTGAAGCAAAGCTGTGCATAGACTGCTGCACCCCGACGCAACCCCATGCATACTCACGGCAAGGGCATTATAAAGGTTCACGTGAGTAGCATAAGTGTGACGCACATGATAATGGTAACGGTGATGGCAATTGTGATGGTGATGATGGTGATGATGATGATGATGATGATGATGATGATGATGTGATGGTCATGGTGATGAAAGCTGTCATAATGTGACATGCAGGGGAATCAGCTCGGGTGGGAGTTGAAGCAAATGCTGGGTTGTGGGCCTCTGTGCTGGTGTCTCTGTCACTCTAACCACCTCAAGTTAAAGGTGAAACAGTAGGGGCTTCTGGAGAGGGCCCCAAACCCATGTAGCCACACTTTCACTCGTCGCTCATGTGAGCTACTCAAGTATGGGGTCGTGTTAACAGAGTTTCAAGATGTCAGGGCAGGACACTGGGTTCGGGTCCCTCTTCACGGCCCCTCCTCGGATCTTTTAATCCAGAAATGGGGGCTCCGCGCGTGATGCTGCAAAAAGGCCATTCGTGTTCTGCGTCGGTTTTGCTGAACGACCTCGAGTGTAGTGGGTTGCAGCTAAAGCGTGCGCAGCGCTGGCCTGTCACGGTGCTGCTGTGTCATGGCAGGCTACCTTATGACCAGCCTCTTCTTGCCCCTCAGCTAGTTTGGGGTCCTGTTTGCAGCTTGCGATTAAGTTCAGGCTTCAGGTTCTAGTGTGTAGGGCTAGATCTTGGTGAAGCTGCATGTCTCAGAGTGCACTAGATGATGGATTGATGGACGAAAGGCGGATTGCACGGGAGAAATGCTAGCATCACAATCGTGCCGGACACACCGGCTGTATGAGCAGACAAAGAACAGTTTCAGCCACAAGACACAGCTTCGAGGTACATGTTCCGATTGAGCCTTTGAGCAGCTCTGCATGAACCGAGAAACATCAGCTGCAATTGTTGCGAGTGTTCCCGCACGGATTTCTGGTTTCTTCGTCACTTCCTCGTCTGCTGCTCATGGTCAGCCTGTGTTGTTCTTTCCGTGCGTTGAGGGTTTCTTGCGGTAGATGTGTCGTTGTCGTCATCACTTCTGTGCCGCCGGTTACAGAGTTAATTCAAGACAGCGGCATGCACTCACTGTCTTGTTGGCACATCATGCACGTCTATCTTCGGAGTAATTACATTCTCATCCTAACCATTATCTGATAATGGATGAAAATCAGTATCGTCATCGTCATCGTCATCAGCACCACCGTCATCATCATCGTCATCACCATCGTCCTCACCCTCACGCTCTCCGTCTCCCTCCCTCACCCTCACCCGCAGCCTCACCCTCACCCTCACCCTCACCTTCAAGTCACCCTCACAACCACCACCACCCCCGCCACCACCGCCGCCGCCGCCGCCACCGCCACCCCCACCACCACCACCGCCACCACCACCGCCACCAGCACCAGCAC